AAAACGAAATACATATACGAAGATTAATTCATCTGCTAAGTGATATCGATCTTCGTCACAACCATTATAGTAATAGTATTCTTATTTGTAATTTTTTGTGCTCAAAATCGATCTTTTCATTAGACTTTTAATGATGCAGAGATATTTGTACATCGTTTAATTAATGTAGGACTATTATATTAAAAATATTTAACATATCTATATATATGATGAAGAATAATGGCTGAAAGAATTTATAAAAAAAAATTGGTAATAATATTTTTATTATGTTATATTACGAAAGAAATAGAACAGTTAGAATTGAAATAATCTATAGATTATTTTGTATTTTAATTCTTATAAAACAAAAAGTTCTTTATTGACTTTAGTAAGTTACTTGATTATTGTTGCTAGATGGTATTATTTAACCCACGCACTCAAGAAATATCATTAAACAAAAGTTGCTTAACTTTTTTTTAAACTAAGTGGAGATGCAATCATCAAGAAAGAAGTAAAAACTGTGAAACATTAAATACAAATATTATTGCTAATATAATAAAGTTATTTCGCAATGGACAATAAGCAGTAAATAAATTATGTAATTAATTTATGTAATTGCATATTTAATTAGTGATTTTCATCAGACTTGATTATGTGAATAGTTTGACGTAAATACACGAATTCGTGATTGATAATATTGCGCTAATTGGCAACTTCGCTAATGAAATATCTCTGTCGAACACTAATCAACTAATAATGTTATTACGTTAATTTGGCAGACAAGTTTCAATAGGATAAACCAGATGGAATATTTGAAATATAATGGATGTAATTTTCATGTAATATATATCTATCACATAATTTGATTGAAAACGTTTCATAAATAAAGACATATTAGAAAAGTCCAATAAAGCAAATGCAGTAATTTTAATTATAGTTAATCCAATAAAAGTAATGAAGACTGGAAATAATCTTTTCTTTTTCGTATAAAATGAGTATGTTTCTCTTCTTTAACTATTTATAACGACGAAAGTTATGAAACTATATATATTCAAAGAAAATCAGTTAAAATTTAAATGTTTAATTGGATTTGTTCTGAACGGATTTTCAAGAATGAAGCAAAATCTAAACAAAGGAATTAAGTTACTAAAAATTTTAAAACCAACTTGATCTCTTAGATTTAAGACAAATTACTAAACCAAATAATTAAATTTGTAAGCTTCTAGGTTAATGGAGAATTTTGGAAAAGAAAAAGTTTAAAATCTAAGTGATACATTTGATTCGAGATAAAACAATAATAGTTCCTTATTTATAATTGATCGAAGAATTATAATCAGTTTAATGTTTAGATTTGCGAATTTAATAGATAATGTGGATTTTGTAAACGTTTCACAGAAACACTACCAAATAAAAAAAATTGTTATAATCTGTAATGATAGAAATTTCCTTATTCATTGTTAATTGACGTTATTTAACATAGAAAGTCAGTAACCAAAAAAAAGTTTAAATCTAGATTAAAACTTATATTTAAGAAGAGAATTTATCACAAAAATAAAATAAAAATTCAATGCAATCTTTTATATTCAGTAGAAGTGAATGGATGCGCATGAATTAAGCTGGAAAATCCCAATTATATTTAGTGGAGAATCTCCGCAGCGTTGAAAAGCGTCAATAAATATTCAATTTAATTTAGTTGTAAATTTCGTCTTAATTGGCTTTGCACCACCCCTGGAAAACGGAATCTCTTCCCTCAATTCCTCTTCCTTCTTGCTTTCTTTCTTTTATTTGGAAGAAGGATTTATTAGGCCGACCTTCGTCACATCCAGTAAAGAAGAAGCCGAACGAGAGGAAGAGATTTAGTGCCTCCCGAATTCCATTCAATTAAAATATTCAAAGGCTTCAGCGGCTCTACTCCATCTCCGCGACTGCAGCCCCTGCTACCACCTCCACCCACACACAAAGCCATGAGATGAAAAACAAATGCAAGCTTGGTGGTTTTCATTTGATTAAAAATATGCAAATGCTGCAAAAACCGGAAATAAATATTTCATGATTAATGAAACGCCGTGCATTTCGTTGTTACTCTGTCCTTCGCATACAAATGCAATCTTTACTGCTGTTATTCAAAGTATATTGCAGACATTTAGTACTAGTTTTACAATATTTAGTACTTATTTACATATCAAGTGTAATTGTTATTTTATATTTAAATTTATCTTCATTTATAATTCATATTAGATTTAAATTCTAACTTTTATCAGTAATGTTTCAATAATGTTTAGAAAGTTCAAGACATGAACGTACTTTTAATAACATGTTTCACGTGAACCTTATACATCTATTCAGAAACAAATCTGGAGCTTTTAAATCATGTAAATGAGAAAGTTATTCAATATCATAATCACGTTTTCACATGATTAATTCAGGAAATTCATGTCTTTCAAAATATATTTGAAGAAAAAAAATGAATAATTCACACGTGAAATCATCGTGTTTTAAAATAATTCATGTCATACTCTAAATTTTATTTAAATTTGCAACTATTTCGTGTCTTTATGTAATATATTATTTACAGATTTTCAGTAATGGTAAAGGTCAAATAAATCTTAATTTATGAAATTTTGAAAACGTGTGTACAAATTTACTGTATTCATCTCAAATACAGTAAAACTTAACTGCATTTGTTAATAGTATATTTAATATCAATTGTAATTGAATATAGTTAAATTAATTTGATTCAGATTGTTGCACTTTCAAATTCAACGATTCAAATTGTTTTAATTTGAATCGTTACTTAATACTTTTATCTACAGTTTGGCAATATATGAATGGTTTTATAAAAAAGTGTTTTATTTTCATAAATGATCCTGTTTTCGTATGTATTTAGTTTCTCGATTAGTCCGGTTTCAAACAGTTCGGGGATATTAAGGGAATGAATTACCCGCACTATGCGAGGTATTGCTGTATTTGGTATTGTTGATCTAAATACATCATTTCTCGGGTAAGTACATAAATATAATCTATTCCCTTTAATCGGGACACCGGTTGATCGGGACAGTCGCTTATTAGGGACAAACAAAGAACGAAAACAAAACCGAGCAAATGTACTAGTCGATGTGTCCCGATTAAGCTGAAAGTTTTTGTAGACTTTATAATTCTATCTGTACAATACATTATTAATTAGCCGAAGTATACTTGTTTTGTTGTATATCAGACACATTTAGATATTATATTCCAATTAATGCTGAAAAAGACTTATAATTTAGTAATTTTTATTGATTGTGTTTCTCTGAAAAATACAATGGTGTATATGCAATAATAATATTTCAAATGCACAACATAAATTATAAGTGGAATTGCAGGAATTATAGTTTGAAACGATATTGAAATGCATTGAAGCTGGGCTTAGGACGTGTGTCCTTCCAGAGAAAGATATATGGAGTGTCTCGTAAATCTTTCGATTTCTATTCGAAGCTGTTCCCTTTGTCTATATGAGAATACCGAAACTAAATATAGCGGCACCCATTGAAACTCCCGCAGAACACCATGTTTATAAATTTGGGGAAACAATGGCGACACGAAATGTGTTTTTGGAGGGGTGACGGTGTGAGGGAGGAGGTTTAGTTTGGGAATCGCGGGCGCTGCAATCCGGGCGATAAGTCCGTCTGAAAAGTTCGGCCCTTTGTTCGCGGGACGCGGTGTTAAATTGGACGAGAGAGAGAGAGAAAGCTCCAAATGCATCCCTCCATTCATCACAAATCAAGCTCACCAAACAAAACACAACACAACATCAAAAAAAATGAAAGCAAACAAAAAGGAGCTCTTTCAGTCGTTGTCAGTGGTGAAAATTAGGGTTTATACAAAAACGTACTGTTGTAAAAGAAAACCGGTTTTCCGATTCGAAACCGCTATAGAATCGGTTTTAGAACTTCAGTGACTTCAGTTTTGATGTAATTTTTATAAATATATCAACATTGATTTCAAGTCTAAATATTAAGGTTTTTATGAAGTAAATAATGATTGTTTACATACTAATATCAGTTATTAAAACTGGTTTTTGACATACATAAATTTATTAAACAAATAAAAGTAGACGAGCTATTTCAGTCGTTGTCAGTGGTGAAAATTAGGGTTTCAAAATAACGTACTTTTGTAAAAGAAAACCGGTTTTAGAACTTCAGAAATTTCAGTTTTTATGTAATTTTTATAAATATATCAAGATTTATTTCAAGTCTAAATATTACGGTTTTAGGATGTTGACATATTAATGATTGTTGTAATGATTGTTTACATAATAATAGTTTATAAAACTGGGTTTTTTACTTTTATACATGTATCAAGGAAATAAAAGTGGAGGAGCTCTTTCAGTCGTTGTCAGTGGTGAAAATTAGGGTTTATACAAAAACGTACTGTTGTAAAACAAAACCGGTTTTCCGATTCAAAACCGCTATAGAATCGGTTTTAGAACTTCAGTGACTTCAGTTTTGATGTAATTCTTATAAATATATCTATATTAATTTCAAGTCTAAATATTAAGGTTTTTATGAAGTAAATATTGATTGTTTACATACTAATATTAGTTTATAAAACCGATATTTTCAAGGAAACAAAAGTGGATGAGTTCTTTCAGTCGTTGTCAGTGGTGAAAATTAGGGTTTATACAAAAACGGTAAAAGAAAACCGGTTTTACAAATTCGAAACGGCTATAGAATCGGTTTTAGAACTTTAGTAATAAATAATTAAGTTAACATATTAATATTAGTTGATAAAACCGGTTTTTTTTTCATTTATAAATTTATCAAGCAAACAAAAGTAGAGGAGCTCTTTCAATATTGAAAATTAGGAATTATACAAAAACCTAATTTTGTAAAAGTAAACCGGTTTTTCACTTACAAACTGCTATAACAAACAGTTTTCAAACTTCAGAGTTTTGTTATTATATTTAATGAATTTTCAGATATTAGTTTACAAAACCGGTTTATCGATGTTTAAAAACCTGAAAATAAAAAACTGAATTTTACCTGGCGATCTCGAGCTTGAGACGGGATCGATTTCGGGCAGCCTCCTGGAGGGCCAACTTGGCACGGGACTCGCTGTCGGCGCGCAACCTCCTCTCCCGGTCAGCATCCCTCTGGGTTGCTTCCCTCTGCAACAAAGAAAATAGAAGAGGAACGATGAAAACAATGCGATGGAAAAAAGAAAGCGTAAGTCGCAGAAAACAAAAAGTACGCAAGTGCAATAAATAAATCAAAAGAGCGCGGGCGGAGGAATCATTTACTTTTTAAAGTTTCCGAAACGCTCGGACGAAAAGTTACTTTAATTGTTTCGCACAAAAGTTTCGCTCGCTCTTAAGATGGTCCGAGTGAAGTGGAGAAGAAGGAAGTCGGACAACTTTAAAATACACATGATTTTGTTACACTTTCTGAAAGCGTTCCATTAGTTTCATACTTGTGTCTGCTTTTGGCTTCTCCCTTTTTGCGTATATATCTGTAATGGATTGCTGAATGCAAGATAACTTATAGTTCTTTCTAATTCAATTTATTATTACAGTTCATAGTTTCAAACAAATATAATGTAAAACAATTGTATTTAAAAAAAATACAATCTGATCTGTTAAAACTTTCATGTGGATGCTAATATTGAGGCGCACGTTCATTATATTGTATTGAAAAGCATTATTAAGAACCTCAATAGGCTCTCGTTTAATACACATAATTCGCATAAATATACTAGACGTTCCATCGAACGTACACCTTGCGGACCTGTATCATATGTTGGGTATCTTTCAGCTTTTAAACAAACTATATATAAATTTAATTTCAGTTAAACCAATATTATATTTTTCCTAACTAAAAAGAAGAAATTGGTTAATGTTTAAATACATATATTATATAAGTGAAATACACAATATGAATGCTCTGTGCATAACCGTCTTATGGATGTAAGTACGTTAGTTCGGTCAGATTAAGTAATTATGTACGTAATATCGAATGTTTGTTATAATTTTGTACTTTACTTAAGTAAACGCTCAAATTTATTTGTGTACATTATTTGTTTTTTGCCAACCTACTGCAAATATTATTATATTCACAACAACCAAGAAATGAGTACATAATATTTATGTACGTTAGTACGGATTTAGGTACGTTAGTTTGATCCAAGAACATAATCATGTACGTATGTTACAATTATATACTTTAAGTGATCGTTGACAACATTGGAATATTTCGTGTTATGATTTTAAATATTTTGTTTATGATTGCTACATATATTTCATACATTTAAATAATTATTAATCTATTTATTGAAGGGAAATTTATTAAAATATAAAATTTGTATAAGATTTACGTATGATTATAAATGTACGTGTATGAAATTTTACAACTCAAGATGATATTGATAAACGTTCATAATAACTTTGGGTATGCTTATGTTGTTGAGCGTTTGTGTTTTATGACGACGCTATCTGTGTACATTGAAAGTTCGCTGGGATTACGAAGATGTCAACTACTATAAAATAAGCCGTAATAAGTTTCTTCAGTGTATGTTAGCATTGATGCGGCTTCTAAAGATATTTAACCTTTGAGACAAGAAGAAAACTTCTTTGTTCTAAATAACTTATGAATACAACATATTATGAAGATTACATTAGAATTAACTAGGTTAAACTTCTTAAAAGCTTTATTTATTTTATTTCTAAAGATAAGTTCTACTGTATAATTATTGGTATTATTATTCGTAAATTAATATAACATACAAGAAATGATATTTTTTTATAATGTTGAAATACGTTAAATATATTGTATATAAATCTAGTATTTATAGTATTATTGGTAAAACGTGTAATAATTTCTTTGTAATAAAATGTATAGTAATTATGAGAATGATCTGACTTTTAGAAGGCTTCAATTATTAGCACGCAAGTAAACGATTAATATCGCGAGATCTTCGATTTTTTTTGTAATGAAATCTTCTTCAGTTTCCTCATGCTGTGCAGAACTTTCCCATCGCCGATTCAAAGATTTGTGAAATTACATAATGTCATAAATTTATTGCACTTATTCATATATTTATTGCAATAACCGAAGTACTTTTGTCCAATAATTTATATTATTCTAAAAATATATATTCTAGTAAAAATCATAAGTTTTTTTTTGAAATACAAATAAAATGAGTAGATAATATTTATGTATGTTCGTGCGGATTTACGTACGTTAGTTCGAATTATGTACTTTAAGTGAACGCTGAAAACAAAATTTTATGAGTATTTGAAAATACCGGCAGTTAACATTAAAAAAAAATGTATACGAGAAATTTGAATAATTTACTATATGTGTGCACGTATAATAAACAAACGTTAATTAAGTAAAAACCGTTCGTCGCTCGTTGTCGAGCGTTCGCAGTCGACTATCATAATTGAAGTTAATTCGTTATGTGCGGCGTCGCGACGCCTAACGCTGCCGCAACAATTGCGACGCGCGGATTTCGCCCTGCGGCGGCATTTAACATCCAGGTAAATAGGAATTCCGCAGAATGAAATACGTCGAAATGCATGCGCATAAATTGGTTACATAACGAAGGCGTTTAATTAAATTATGACAATGGTTTTGCCGTCGTCATCAAATGCAGGGACAACGAGGATGGATGTTCTGTTCTTCAACGTAAAACCTTATCGTGCCCAACACACGATTCCGTTTAACTTTATCGGCGGCCTGCTTACATAATCCCCGACGTTATCTGCGCCTTAATTAGGACCCCTTTTTCATCCTCATCCACTGTTTGGTTTTCCAGCTTAACCTTAATTCATCTCAAATCGTGTGTGGAATTAATTTAATTGTGTTTACCCAGCCTCCTTTTCAATTTTAATCCCGAAATAGAATTAATTGATATGAGTTGTCTTGACCGTTTGATTTATCCTCTTACATTTTGTAGATAAAGGTTATCTAATAACTGTACTTCAATTATGAGACCTTTAATATCGTTGGTTGGATCCTCAAAAACCAACAAAAATTTGTGGGGGCCGATGAATCCGAAAAGGGCTAGAAATCTCTTCAAATTAAAAAAAAAATATTATGTGAATATACGTGGAATTTAGATTTGCATTGATAGTTAAAGGTGTCGTATTAGCAAAATACTATTATGATTTTACTCAGTAAACAAATGGAATAAATCACCCAAAAAAAAACATTGCTTAACTTTCTCCTGTTATTTTATTTTGATACTAATATTAATCCCAGCAGATTTTGAATATTTTTTATATTTTAATAATATTCTGATATGGACTTTTAATGTTAGTTTAGAAATGTTTATTTTGTGGTGGTTTTGGTTTTCACTCATCAAATTATCCAATTAATTATTTACATTCAGATGAATTTTGAGTATATACAATAATATCTCACATAATAAAGTCGAAGATTTTAATAAAAATCTAAGTTATTTTCGTTATTTCTATAAACCCATCGTTTTTTAAGACTTCCTGCAGATTCTTTAATCATTCATGATTACCAAATGCATTTACATAAAAAAAATCAGTGTTTATGAATTATTTGTGTGCTGTATATCAATGTTTCTCAACCTTTGAGTTGCTAAAGGGTCATAAAATGACAGGAACTGGTAAAATACTCTTAGCAACTGGGTCGAAATACTACTAGAAACAACTATGTTGGGTCTCGCATTAAGGAAGTTGAGAAATTCAGCTACATATGATTATTCTTTATAACCCTTTGTATGCTAGTGGTTTCACCATGGAACCACATAAAGAGTAATTATATTAAAAAAAAATTATTTCCCATTGATTCTGCAGTGGAACCACATGTTTTTTCAAATACTAAACAAAAATAGAAAAATTTGATCATTTTTAACCTAATTTACACAAAAAATCGACAGTTTTGACAAAATTAAGTAAAGCAACAAAGGGTTAAATAATTATAAGGGTTGATCTAAAAACATCAAAATTATCAAAACATTTGTATATATTCAATAATTTATTTAAATAACTTAAGATTTGTGCTAATGCCTTAAATAAAGTATTGTCATAAGGTTCAACGTCAAATTGAGGTAAAAAATATATAAATATTTAAACTTTTAATAAATTATTTTATAATCTTTAGCAAAGTACAACCTTTGAAGAAAAACTCACTGAAAATTGTATATTTAAATTTTTAAATCTAAATTTTGAAAAATTTTTACTTTTTATTCTTTTTCTCTTAAATAATCAGAAAATGTTTTTTCTTTAATTTTGTGATTGCATATCGAACTTAAATGTATACAAACGTTTTTTTCTCTCTAGATAGAATAGAATCCATTAGAAATCATTGTCATTCTCGAAACGTCTATTTACTTTTTCTTTGAACCCATAGATGGCGACTGAATATAATTAGATAATTTGTTTTATAAATCCACTCAATTTGCATGTGATGCTAAATATTTGTTGGAAATGCATAGGATCTATTGTGGTATATTTTTCGATCGGATTGAGTATCGGCATTATGTTGCAATTTATGGATGAATAATTCCGAATTATTAAAACAAATGAAAACGGTACTACAGTTTGTATAACATGTATAACCAGGTGGGTTCAAATGAATCTGTTACTAGGAGGGTGAAATCAATGAATAACATGTCGGTGAATTGACGATGAACGCGCATCGGAGCGTGATTTTCGGTCCACTGCAGAGACAATTAAACGGTGGCACACGCTCAAAGGGGGATATGACGCTGGGGAGCTTCGCAGGGTTTCCATGTCGTTGGGAAAGAATTTATGTTTCTGTGTGCGTTTACACTAACCACACAAAACGCACCATGTGCCCCCCAATATGTACTAATATTTGTTAATCCTTTCTCTCTAATTCTCTCTCTCTCACTCACTCTTACACATTCTCAAAACGAGCTTGTCTGGCCGCCCTTGTGTGCGGCTTCCGCCGATTTCAACCCCAAACGCAAATTTGCAGAATTAAAGCCGGTTCAGTTCGGATCGATGGACTTTAATCACATCCATAAATTCAATAAACAAACATTTCGGCTCTCCAAAAACAAAAGCCGGGATTTACTTTGTTCACTAGTTAATGCTGGAGTACACTTTTGGGACGCTGCACTAGTCCGAGTACATTCAGCCAGCTGGGGGATTAATTTCATGGAACTACAACC